GGGATTAGGGTCAAAATAAATAAGGGGGGGAATTGAATGGGGACTATAACCAAGATGAGAATGCATGCATTGTGCAAAAATGAAAAATGGTGTAAAAATATATAAAAGAATATAAAAAAAGAAAAAAAAATCTAGAAGATATCTTTGAGATGCCATGATGAGTTATAAAATATAAACTTCAAAATGAGATAGGAGAGTAATCCTTACATCTGCCTACTTTCATTTACTGAGATCACAAATGAAAACTAAAAGGAAAAATGAGCTCCCCAAAACAAGGGCTTTGTGTACCATAAGACCCATTCCCATGAAATAAGCTATCACATAAATATCCCTTTATTGTGAAATCTCAAAGTGAGCAGTACAGGGATGTTAGACAGTGATTGCAATTGACTGGATCTGGGCCTCCCTGATGGCACAAGGGGTTAAGCACTGTACTATGAAGCAATCTACAGCCTCTGCAGCACGAGTTCAATCCCCGGCCGGCCAGGGAGCATCCCACATGGCACAGCAGACCTCTCCTGACTGGCCCACTGCTCCCCTCAATAGTGTATTTCGGTCAATCTGCCTGTTCTGTTCCCCACTCTGTCTCTGGTGAATCCTCTCAATCCCCCCACACACACCTCTGGCCTGTATTCCAGTTCTTATGTGCATAAATAAATAAATCTTTAAAAAAATAAAAAATAAAATAGGGCAGTAGGGCGGTGTATACACTACTCCTTTTTTTCACTATGCATGAACAGAGTTGGGATGACTATGCATTGGTTGAAGGATTGGAATGTGAATGGGAAAGGTTCTCCTTGAAAACACATTAGGATCTCCTGAATCCGTTAGGGGGACTTAAGGATCTTCTAACTATTGAAGAAATCAGAGATAGAAAATGCAAGATTAAGACCAATTTGGCAAAGAAAGAATGGAGCTTGGAAATTATGTAATCAATTATGGGTGCAGTGACACCGAGATTCTTGTGGAACACACTAGTTCAGGTGTCTACCAGGTAGATTAAACTAAGAACTCTTAGCTGAGAATCAGATTCTAGGCTAATGAAAAATCAGAGAACCTGCCAAAGTACAATAGCACCTGAAACCACGGGAAAGAAATCATTGAAAGCAAGTGTGCAGTCATAAGAGTAAATGACAAGAGAGAAACTTAGGACTTACTTCCCTTTATCAGATTATATGGATGAAAAGAGACTGGTGATGTTAGTAAAAAGACTGAAATTGCATCAACCATCAGTCTAATCCAAGAAACTCGTGTTTGTAGAAAGCAGCGGATAAAAAAGTATAACGATAATGAAATAATGTCACAGAAACATTTTTATTAGAATTCAACTGTAACAAAGTATATTTATAAAACATACAGTACAGGATGTAGCTTTTAAGAGACTTTATGTGGCAAATGATAGATTCATATGTATAATAAAATTTAACACCTAAAAAAAAGACACAAGAAGAAAAAAATAAGTAATAAGAGGTGCTGGTGTACTAGGACGGTGACAAGACAACAGAGTTAACTGCTTGAGTTGAGAATTCACACAAATGAATTTGCATCTTTGTTACTTACTAACATTATTTAGTGGCAAATTATTTCCTTGTATAATAAAATACTCATCCAATAATGTTATTCAGAAAATTAAAGGAGAAAATGCAATTGGAACAGCCACTAGAGTATTCTAAAACCGTAGGTACTTAATTGGTAGTAACTAAGATACTATAATATAAAAAGAAGAGATTAGAAAGGACCAAGGAGAGCAGGGTTTCAAGGTAACCATAAAAATATGCTATTCAAAAAAAAAATCTTAAAAATGAACTTTTCTAGCTATGGTTCTCAACAACAGGTTGCAGTGGAAAGAAAAAATGGAATGAATTTCTTGAGTTTTTGTCTCTCAGCCTAACTTTCCACTAAGGACACAAGATTACAAAGAAAATGAGCAGCTTCTAATAACAAGTGATTATAGTATTATTAGTGAGAATACTTGCATAGGACAAAAGTCTTTCATTCCATTTGTTGGTACATATTTCTCTACCATATTCACAATGTATTTTATCAATAACCAAATGAATATTTGTAGATTGTGAGCATTTGGCCAGACAATGTTTAAGGCTACTTGTCAAACTATGCATAATAAAATCCTGATTAACACTTAAAGGCACAGTTATGGTCAATAAATATTCCAATAGTAGATAGAACACACTGGAGATCAACTTCAGTCAAATTAATAATGCAAAAGAGATGGCTATATTTCCACAGCCAAGTAGGAATATTACCTTGACAGGTCTGCCACTAGTTATTATGATAGCAAATATAATTACTGTACAAAGAAATTATCCATATGTTTTAATTGTGAAATGTAACAAGTGACACATTCAAAATGGCAATTAACAACCAATAAAGTGCAGAAACTATATGTATTTTCTTACTTTAGCACATTTTTAAGTTTCATGATAAAAATCTAAAAAAAGAACAAATAATAAGAAAATCTAAAGAATTACTGTAGTTATTATAATTTAACTATTACTATAATTTAACATTATTATAATGTCTAAGGACAACATTTTCTTTCTATGGAAAGTTGCTGTTCATTTTAACATATGCAGCCAAAGAAAAATTTTCTAATGTTTAGTTGAATATAGCATGAATTTAGAATGATAGCTACATGTTACTAAAATATTTAATTTTATTACTCTTTAATACACTCTACCACTTAGTCATTTAATGAACTAGCTACCTGAAATTTTATTAACTCAAGATAGGATTTTAAAGGAACAAAATTATAACGAGTTTGAACTTACTTTTCTTTGTTACTTAGAAAATGAAATCTTAAAAATATTAGTACTTACTGACATTAATTCCACTTCTAGTAGTTTTAATAGTCCAAATAGGTACATCCTTATGTTCAAATACATTCATTACTGCACTATGTAAAAATAAACAAAAAAAACCACAGACATATCTTTATAATTAGAAGTTTTCTGTATTCCCAATACAGAAGGTATGTCCGTAATGGAAATACAAAAGTTATATACATTTTATTACACTCTATATGCTGGACTATTATGAAATTAATAGAACAATGCTTGTAAAGAAATTTAAATAATAGAAATCTTAACATTAGAATGTTAACCAAGAAGAATTTGCTTTAATTTTATATTCTTTAGTAACTTAAATATTTAAAACAGAGCACTTACTAAGTACCCACTATGTTCTATGTGTATTTGAAATATTAACTTATTTAATCTTTACAATGACCTGTGAATGGGTACCATTATTATTTTATCACCCAGTGACCCTATAATTTGCTGCTATTTTTAAAAGAAGAATTGGAGGCAGAGATTCTTGCTTTTTGTCACACAATTGTTAAGTAATAGGATCAAGATTTAAAGCCAGACAATCTGTCCCAGAGTCTGTGCTGTGAACCACTAAATTCCATTAGAAATACATACTGAAAGGAAAAACTGAAAAGAAATATCCTGACCTGGAGTGTTAACAGCAATTACTCATCTCGCCTTCTCAAGGGCCTTTTTAGTTTTGTCCTTATCCTCTCTCCCCTTAAGCATTAATCTCTCCATTCCCACTATTCATTCTCCATTATCTATCATCTTATAGAACCAAATAGCTCCATTAGCTACCAATTGTAGAACAAAAATGTATAAAAAACAAAAACATTGATATTTTATTTCTCTTTCAGCAAAACCCTTGAAAGAGCTATGTGTCTACTTACCTCCCTTTCACTCTTCAAACCCCTGAAGAATATGCACTGTGTCAAGCTATCTAAACTGGAATTAATTTCCCTGAGTTCGCTTCCCTGTATAGTTATGGTGTGAATGAGTGACTAGAGATATTGTGAGCAAATTTTAAATGGTGGACGTGAAGTCCTGTTTCTTCTAACTCTGGGAAGGACTGGGGATGAGTTGCTGCTGCAGCTCAGGTAGATTGTCATTTATCTAGTGACTCACCTGGGTAGCATGAGCTGCTGCTCCACCTCCTCCATAAGGATCTTGGACTCTCTAGCCTTTGTAGTCTTAGTTCATTGACCAAAGGTTCCAGCTATTTTTGTAGGACAGCCTAATCATTGACATTGAGGCATGGAGGTAATGGGAAAGCAATCTTAGTTCCATCCATTCATTCTTGGATATTCTAGATTTTTTTTCTTGTTTTCCCATTTCACCTTTATCTTCACTTAAAAACTGATTGCCCTGCTACAAGATACTGCGCTCCCACAAGTAGAATAAATTAGTTCTATGAGTAGTTTGGCTTATCTGATCAAAGCTTACTGATATAAATCCCTCCATATATGAATTTTGTATATTTCTATATAGATCAAAACTGTCCCTTCAGTATTCTTTTCCCTATCCCAATGGAAGAACAGCATTCAAGGTAACAGGAGTTTTCACCCCTAGTTAAGTATACAGTGATATAATTTCCTGTTACCATATGCCCAATGGAAAATGTAACCATTTAATATATAATAAATGTGATAATATAATAACCTCCAGTTGAGGTAAGAGAGTAATCAGGGTGATAATTGGAGACACTTCTCCTTAGAAAAAGGTTCAGCCTTCAGTGACAGACAACTGGAGCCAGCTTTTCACATTTACCCTTTGAGCCCATTGTCCAGCCTGAACACAATTCCCAATCTCAGTGTAGTCTTTCTCTCTTAATTGTTGATGAACTTTCAGCATAAAGCTGAACTGTAGATTTGATATTTTGATGATATGCTAATAGCTACAATAATAATAGCAATGAACACATTCCTTCAGTACTTGCTGTGTGTTGAGCTCTTTATATATATTATTTAATTTCTTCTTTACAAAACCCTGTTGGGAAAATCCCAACGCCATTCTCCTTATACAGGGGGACAAAATTGAAGGAGACCATTTCATAAAAAGAAATGATTATAGACATGAAGTTGGAATTCCTACTTTTTCTTTTCATGTTGCATAATTATATATATACACACATTCCTATACAAATTATTTTATCAATCATTAGAATAACTATTATATTGTTGTATTATGGCTTCTCTAATACAGAGAAAGGAAGAACAAAACAAGGACACCATGTTAGATTTATAAAGAAATAATGTCAAAATGGTTAATGTAATTCACCAGTTCAATAAACTGGATTACATTTTAGTAGGACAAAAGATCAACGAAAGCCTATTTATATTCATTGGCTGAAGGCTGAAACAGCAACCAGGTAATGCTCTCCCTATATTTAGGCTCATTAGCTATGGCTATTATATTTGTTGGATACTATAACATCCAGATGTTTCTGGACAGCTCAGCTGATTTTCTTCCTATGGATAGATTAAATAGTAACAAAGAGCAGGTGAAAAATTCAATCACTAATCAAGCTTTGAGGCTTATTTTTTATTGCTATCTTTTGTCTCTACATTTTCCAGATGTTGATATCTTCCTAAGGCAAGCCTTGAGAACACAGGCCCCTTCTCTCAAGGATGATTATGGTACATGGATTAGGAATGTCATATATTTCTTATTTGCATAATGTTCCCACCCACTCACTTTACAGACTTGGATGATGTAGTATTATGCTCTCTTCCTCTAATTATTCTTTAATCAAATCCAATAGGAAGGACACTAGTAACATTATTTTATCAGTAACTTATCCTTTCTTGGTTTTCCAATAGCCAGTCTCACTTTCATAGGAGAATATTGGAGTTGCCCCACAGAGAATATAAGTAGCACTTATCTGATTGAAGACTGAATTCTAAAATTTCATCTTATGTCATCTAGTTTTATAATGCACAAATATTTTGTCTTCATTTCCTAAGAAAAAACCAAACATATATACATACACATATATTAATAATATTGAAAAATCAAAAGAACATATAAAATGAATTAAACTAAGCTATTTTTTCCAAAATGCAGTTATACTACTATACTACTGTAATGGGTAATCATAACTATTATATTCCTTTTTTGTTCTTGCTGTTGTTATTGATTTGTTATTTTTTTTAAATTATACGAAGAATAGTTGTGGTCTTGATAGGTCCCAAAGATAAGGTAAAATGTATTATTAAAGACCTCCTTTTGTGTGTGTGTGTGTGTGTGTGTGTGTGTCTGTGTGTATTTAATTGTATGGTGTTATTCCTGTCATATATATAATATATTATATATATAAAAATATTCTTATATGTCAACCAAAATATCGACTTCTCATAATAATTTACATTATGACATTAAACATTGATTAACTTCTTGATTTCAAATGCCACTCTGATGGCTACTAAAGGATGAGAATTGATTATAAGTATCTCACCCCCTAGGAGTTTGCAGGCTATGGCAGACACTTCTTTCTGGGTACTTATGTCAAAGAAACATAAGGAGTTAGAATAAAAGCATCAAATCATAATGCTTGTGAACTTTCTCCAGAATACAGCAGTCAAAGGCAAGTCTGTCAGTACATCTTACAGTCAGGGATCAAGACAAGTACATAATTAAGGTGAAGATCAAGGAGAGTAGCTGCGGGAGCCTGATGTCCTGACTAGGTGATGATTTAGTAACTTAATTATTGCAGAATCTTCCCAGGAAAACGGGGGTGCCTTGTCTTTAATAGATGTTGCTTTCAGAAGTGTCACTGCGTATTTGCTGACATACACAAGTAAGTATATCCTATGTCGTTTAAAAATATGTCAGGATATTTGATGGTGGGTTTAAATAAATAACTTTGGCTCCCCTTTGCTTAATTAGAAAATTTGCATAAATTGCCATTTTTCTTAGCTCTGGCTGTCAGAGTGAGAAAACTTAGTGGACTGAAGAATACTGATTTTCTCTAAGATATTTAATGTCAGAAACATGCAAAAATATAGCTGGGAAAATCTCTGGTACTTTCATAAGCTTCAACCTGGATTTTTAAAAACAACTAATATCATGAAGTAAATAAAATGAATAAATGTTTTGCCTTTTATCAGAAAAGAGAATATTATGGTAAGTTTTTAAAAGTATGTATACATAGGTATAACCATATGTATTCTGCAAACTTTACCATGTAGAGATTACTGATTTTCATCTCAAAATTAGCAAGAATATTTAGATGTTTAAGCCAATAGTATCTTTGTTATGCAAATGAATGTTCAGGAAAAGGGAAAATTCAGTGATTTCTCAAGAAAACATATTATCTCCTTTAAAGAAGATTAAGAATTTCCTATGATCCTTATTTCATTCTCTAATTGAATGTTTGCTTCCTTTCAGAGCATGATTCTGTAATTTTCTTATCTTTCATTAGCAAACACATTGTCAAAATAGGAAGGTTTTATTTCAGACTAATCATTATAAAAATAGAAAAAGAAAGATTAGGCCCACAGTTACTTAAACTTATGTTTTTGTGGAGAATGGCTATTTCCCATGGATTTTCCCAATGAATTATATTTTTAAATAATAGTTGTCCCTTTAAAATAAAAGATTTGCTTTCTTTTCCCAAAATCTTTTTTTTTAATAAATTTTATCAGGAATCTGTAATTGTAGCAATAAATGGGTTAAAGCAGACAGAAAATAAAATTTATTCAGTCATATAAAATGTTCCATTAATTGCTTTCTTCCTAATAAGGAACGCAATCTTAGCATCAGGATAAATGGGAAATTTATCCTGAATGACTGAATGGGCTGAATGACTTTGTCAGGCTGACTGGCAATTCTGGCTTAGTTTCTTACTCCTTTGTCATCTTACTAAAGATCTCATATAGGCACCTCACTGGTAACCATAGGAACAGCGTCCACAGTGATTTCTTGAAGTGGAAGAAAAACTAGTGCCTAAAGACATGTATGAAGAAATATATGAATCTAATTACATCCTAATTATTATATATGATATCTCACATTGTATATTAGATGTTAATGTCCTCAGTGCCAGAATGAAGAATGAGATCTGTGACCTTTCTTCCACAAATGATTCTGATGAATGATACCAAAAGCAAATTCTCAAGATTTGGGGAGAAGAAAACTAATGAAGGCAATAGAGACTTATAATTTTATTCATGATGGAACTTGTGAGTTTAAGACATTTTGAAAAATTCTTAGTTCAGCTGCTTCAACTACATCTGTTGATGAATGAAAACTCACGAAGTGATTTTTGTGTTTTAAAATATTGCACTATTACAAAGGAGAGAAAAGGCCACGAAAACAATGTGCTAGATAAATTAGTTTATGAATATTTTGTTTGTTAAGTAATTTTACTTTAAATATTTAAATTAAATTTTAATAATTCACTGTATTTTCCCTCTTTGCACTTGGTCTATATATTAGGATGTCCATGCTCTTCAGAAAAGAAGATATTAAGTGATAACTCTACAGCTTTAAAAAAATTTTATACTTAATAGAAGTTTATAGTAACTGTTGATTACTTCACTGACTTCAGTAAATTTTATTAATTAATATGGAATACTAAAGACATCTATCTTCAGCACCTGGAAATAAATTTTCTTGCCTTATACATAATTTTTATAGTATTTACTGGCTATAGTAAACATTAATAATTAATAAATTAAAATGTTTAAAGTGCACAAGAATAATGTAAGAACCGCAATCTTCATAAATTCACATACATTATTTTAACTAACAAATACAAAAAATGTTTTCTTTTAAAAATATGGAACTCTTTTTATGAATTATTATATTTCATTGACCAGAATTTTGTAAAATACATGAAATGGGGTATCCTGTTTTGTTGAAACAATAAAATTGTACTCCTAGCATTCCAACTCTGGTCCTTACCAGAGCCAGACAACCAGGGAGTTTGTTAGGTTTCTATCCCAAATGTCTGTGCTCCAGATATATCCTTGTTTTTGCACTATTGTCTATGGTTAAGTCAATGTGTGCTTCTGTTTAAATATGGAAACTTAGCTGACCCTCAAAGAGACCCTATCCCTCTATAATCATCACCAGAGTAGCATTGATCCAGAAAAAAAAAAAATCCATAGAAGGAAATATAGGCGAAACACTATGTGATATTCACATCAAAGACATCTTTACAGACACATCACCCAAAGCAGTGATAGTGAAGGCAAAGACAAACAGCTGGGACTACATCAAATTAAAGAGCTTCTGCACAGCAAAAGAGACAATAACAAAAACAAAGAGAAACCCCACCAACTGGGAGAACATTTTTGCACCCAACACTAATGATAAAGGACTGATCACAAAAATCTGCAAAGAGCTGATGAGACTCAACAACAACAAAGAAAATAATCCTGTCAAAAAATGGGCAGAAGAGCTAAAAAGAAACTTCTCTGAAGAGGAAATGCAAATGGCCAACAGGCATATGAAAAAATGTTCAATATCACTTGTAATCAGGGAAATGCACATCAAAACTACCATGAGATACCATCTTACACCAGTGAGAATGGCACATATTAAAAAAACTAGCAACAACAAATGTTGGCGAGGGTGTGGAGAAAAAGGAACTCTTCTGCACTGTTGGTGGGAGTGCAAACTGGTCCAACCACTATGGAGAGCTGTATGGAGATTTCTGGACCTACTAAACATAGAGCTTCCATATGATCCAGCAATTCCACTCCTAGGTATTTACCCAAAGGACGCAGAAATATCAATTCCAAAGAACACCTGCACCCCTATGTTTATAGCAGCACTATTTACAATAGCTAAGCTTTGGAAACAGCCCAAATGCCCAAAAATAGATGACTGGATCAAGAAGATGTGGTACATATACACCATGGAATATTACTCAGCATTCAAAAAAGATAAACACATGCAATTTGCAGCAACATGGATGGCGCTGGAAGGGATCATGCTCAGCGAAATAAGCCAGAAAGAAAAAGAAAAATACCGGATGGTCTTACTCATAGCAGGAATCTAGAAAACTTAAATAAGGGACCAGGAAAATGAATAACTATAAGAAAGTGAAAATCAAAATCAACAAAAAACTATGAACCAGAGACACTTTTGGGGGGGGGAGGGGAGGGATTGTGGTCAGAATGAGGGGGTTGCAATTGTATGGGGAATATAAAAATAAAATTTATTATTTAAAAAATAAATAAATAAATAAATAATCCTTACAATGCCACCAAAGGCAGGGATAGCTAATATACAGGATTCTGCTCCCCAGAATACAGAGCAGGCAGTGGAACTGGGGATCAGGCTGCTAAGTAAGGCATAAGGCTCCTACTCGAAAGCAGGATGTCTGTTTCCCCTAGACTTTGATGAATGGTATGTCAAGATGTCAACAACAATGAAGACCCCATCAGGCAGTTAATTCTAGACTAAAGCAATATTGGAAGAAATTGAACTTTAATATCAATATTAAATACCAACATCCTCCACCACAGTCCATTGTGTCCCTCCCCTGCTTGTCTTCACCCTCCACCTCCCCAACTTGTAGGCTCAACTCCACAATCAGCTTTCTTAGCTAGAATTTTTCAATGCAATAACCAAAGACCCAAAAATAGAAGGCAGAACTGACTGATTTCTACCTATTTCTTTCTACTTACAGGTTGCCCTTGTTCTTCTTTCCCGCTTCACCTTGTTTAGAAGCTTTTTGATTATGACAAAAACTTTGAAACTATAGTAGAAGTGAATGAGATATAGTTCAGTTGAGGAAATAGAAAATCATGTCCCTCAAAATATCAAACATTTTGTATCAATAAAGAAGGAGATAATTATTGAACATGCCTATCATATTACATGCAAGGAAAGGTCCATGAGATATGGCAAAATGTGGACAAAAATTCACCTAAATTTTTACAACAATGAAATTGAAAGTTACCTCCAGAGAAACAAAGAGTTGCATCTTATCTCAGTCTTCTAAACCC